ATATATTAACCTTCATTACGAGATGCAGGCTGAGATTCCCGATCAGCAATTCTTCTCATCTGTTCATCGACCAAGTGCACTGAGCGCTTGCATTGTGCCAGCCCTGTGCCCCCAGTGCTCATCCCCCCGCCTGGGCAAGGCTGGAGTTTGTGCAATTGAATGACTGAATGGGGCAGCCAACACGGAGGATGCTGGTGGGTTGGGGACCCTCATGCCTACTCGGATCCTGGACAAGAAAACTTTATTTTTTATTTATTTTTTTTAAGATTTATTTTATTTATTTATGCATACAAGGGCTGGGGTGCAGGCCAGAGGTGTGGGGTGGGGGTGTCTGACCAGAGACAGCGTGGGGAGCAGAATAGGCAGATACACTGAGACACACTCCTGAGGGGAGCAGCAGGCAAGGCAGGAGAGGTTTGCTGTGCCCTGGGGGCATCAAACTCATGCTGCAGTGGCTGCAGATAGATTCATAGTGCTGAGACTTATATAACCCCTTGTGCCACTAGGGAGGCCCAGACAAGAAAACTTTTTACAAAACAGAGCCTGGAAGCCACCATCCAGTGCTTGCTGAGCAAGAGATTTGTCTTGGGCAGGTTATCAGGAGAGAGTGAGCAGGGGAAATTCTCTCTTGGGGGCGAGACTCAGGATAAATCAATGTGTTTAGGGGTGAGCAGGATGCCAGCTTTGCTAAACTGCACTTCAGGGTTCCTTGGAAGTTGACCAGCTCCCTCTGGTCTGTTAAACTTGTGGGTGGTAAATGCCAGGAGGGCTCTGGACTGCCTCTCTGACCTTGAACTGATCTTGTGGGACTGGGCACAAAGTTTCACTTTGATTTTCCAGGCTGCCTCAATTTCTAACATCTCCCTTCTTGAAAAAAATCCCCCGATATTTGGGGCTCAAATTGGGATATTTGAATGAGACTGGGAGGGTGAGTGGAGGCCTTGAATGTCACCCCAGGAGCATGGATTTGATCCTCAGAGCAATGAACCACGGATAGTGATAGGTAATGGAGTGAAATGAACTTTCATTTTAGAAAGTTCACTCTGGCAGCTGAAGTGGAGGATCAGAAGGTAGGAAGAGATAAGCAGAAAGATCAGTGTGGAGGTTGTCACACAAGTCCAGGCAAAAGCCAGAGCAAGACCTTATTTGGACCTTGCCCTATAGTGACAATGACAAAATGTAGCACATCTAACACCACCCTCACTTCCTATTCTCATGGCAGACATTGCTAATCGCTCACTGTCCACCCTCACACCCACCCTACTCTCTGTCACATAAAGTCGTCAGTTCTGAGGATATGTGTGTATTTGCTCATAATTCACCTTGGATCGGCCCTAACCTGAGGCTCTGGGGGTCAAAATGATGGTCACGCATTGTGCCTCTCCCTTCCCAATGCCCTTCTGGCACCCTTTTACTAAGCCTTTCACCTCACAACATTCCTGGAAGATCAAGTTTGTCATCCCCATTTTACAGATGAGGAGACAGAGAGCAGAGAATTCAAGTAGATGCCTGAGATCACAGGTGGTGGGTGGCAGAACTGGGATTCAAATCCAGGGCTGTCTGGCTCCAGAAGCCCTGGCTCGTTCCAGAAGAAGCTTGTCCCAGCTGCAGCCCATTTGCCTCTATCAGGGCATCATGCAGAAGAGCCAGACAGGTTGGGGCCAATATCTTGGTAACAGTAACTTTCCCTGTTGATAAAATCCCTGGCTTTAAAAAACCTGGGAAACTTGGCTTTGGAATCACCCTTATCTAATCTGCTCTGCACTGGGTCATGGAGAAGGAAAACTCTGACCCCTGGGTGGGGGGGGCATTGGGGGATGGTGGAGGGGGTGCTGCAACAGATGGTGAGGGCCAGAGGCCTGTTGCTGTGGAAGAGAATGAAGTTTCTGTCCTTGCACTGTTGGAATGAGAGCCCTGCAGCCAAGCGGCCCAGGGCCAGGGCGGGACCAGCCAACCTTTGGCACGTGAAATGCCACCCCCTGCTCCTGGCAAATCATTCCTGGTAATAGGTCACCCCCTCGGCAGGCATGCATCCTGAAAGCCCTGTCTGTTCCTGCCTCGTGGGGTCCCTGCTGGAATGTAGGGGGTTGAGGGACTGGCTCCAGATATGGCTAGAGTTCAGACGGGTGGGCAGGGAATGGCTGGGTACTGCCTGGGGGCAGAGGGAGCTTTGTGCTCTGTGCCCCAGAACCCCACCCCTCTCCACATTGCCCCACTGGGGAGAAATGGCTGACAAGTCTGGCAAAGGCTGCTCTCTCTGCTCCCTCTTCTGGGGCAGCTAGCATGGAGGATGCTTTCCTGGGTGGCCCCTGGCAGCTGGCAGACCCACCCCATAATGAGTGGGGTGCTTTTCCTGAACATCATGAGGGTGAGGGCAGGGGCCTCAACCCCAAAACATGGTACAATCACCCAGAGAACTTTCAAACACCCCAGATCTCAGTCCCCACCCCAGAGACTACAGTGGTTGGTCTGGGATGACCTGGGCATCGGCCCTTATTAAACTCTGCAGTGATTGTGATGGGAGCCGGGTCTGTGTTTGCAGAGGCGGTGCGGCTGCGCAGCCACCTCCAGCTGTGTGATCTTGAGCCCTGGACGCAGCAGCCCAGCCCTGCTGTCCTCATTTGTGACATCTGGACAGCAAGTTACCCATTTCATGGGGCTCCTGGGAGGTTTCAGAGGGACCTGCCATCGCGCCTCAGCCCCTGTGCAGAGCACCCGCTTGTATGTGTCCTTCTGTGGGCGTCGTGGACAGTTCCTGTGTCTTCCTTTCCCGCCCAGCCAAGATTTTAGGGCAACCAAGCCAGAGAGTCTACCAGGCAGAGAGAGGTCTCTCTCTGACTTGGGGGCAGGTTGGGGGGTGTTGGCCTCTGTGGTTCTTACACCTTGGGGAAGCCCATGCTCCTTGGCAAGCCACATGCAGCCGCTCGGGCTTCCTGCTCGAGGCCCAGGCGCACCATCCAGGTGTAGTCGTTTCTGGCCTCCCCTCCCACCGCAGGCTCTCCTGGGCAGGGTGAGACCCACTCATAGGAGCCAGACACGCAGGAGGGTCCACCTGCCTGATGCCCATGGGTCCTCGGAGTGGCCAGTTCCACACCGCACCTGCATGGCCCCTTCTAAATTCCCGCATGTGCCTGCCTCTCGCTCAGGGCTTACACCCACACATGCCTCGTCCCTCGCTTTCTCTCAGGTGTTGCTGCCCACATCCCGGGAAAGAGTAAGAGGTGAGTCAGGTCGGCTGAGTCCACTGAAAACAGCGGCCTCTGTTTAGCCGCTAAGCTGCCTGAAACGCTGAATCGGGGCACAGAGCTTCTTCTGTGGGTGCTGTGGGAGCATGATGGCCGCGGGCAGCAGAGACGCCCACAGCCGGTGCCTGGGTGTGTTCTGAGGCAGGTGTTTTCCCTCCGAGATGTGTTTTCTTGTTCTCATGCAACTGCAGGATGGAGTCCCTGGAAATAGCCCATCTGTCCTCCAAACTTAAGGACCTGAAATTGCATTCTAGAGATTTCTGCATGGAACCTCACCTATGCAGGTTCTTGACAAAATGCTGCATGAATAAGTGAGAGAATGTAACCCACCTAGTGGCCACGGCTCAGAGCCCAGGCCGGCTTGCCCGGCCAGGCTCCATTGATCACTCGGTCGTTCAGACACATGTTGGGGGGCCCTGGTGTTGATGACCTAGCAGGAGACAAGATCTGCTTTCATGCGCTTCTACAGCTTCCCTGGGGATGGGACACATTAGCTGAGGCCTGAGCCACCAGGAGGAGGCACCCTCGCACAGCTGCAGGCGCTGGTGTCCCAGGCAGGGGGACCTGCTGCTGATGCAAGGGCAGGGAAGGTGGGGCAGCCGAAGGGACTGGGGCAGGTGAAGGGCTGAGGGGGGGCTGGGGTTCAGGTTACCCAAAGCCCAGCTCCCGTTTGGCCTGCCTGCAATGAGGGTCAGCCCCAGGCCTGTGTAGGTGAGAGGCGCCTGGTCCTATCAGCCCACAGTGCACAGTGGCACCATGCTTCTGCCAGTCTGTCCTGTGGGGAATGGGACCTCATCTTCCCCAGGGGCCTCAGGGACAGCCCCCAGCTCGCGGGGGCTCTGTGGAGGCTGGCCTGCAGCTGGGGCAGGTCCAGAAGGGCAAGCCAGGTTGCATGGGTGAGTTTGGAGAGTTTGTTTTAAACCCAAGTCACCCATCAATGGTTTGAGAGCGCGCTGGGTACCTGAGCAGCCATGTGATGATGGGCCAATCCCACCCCTCTGGTGGCATCAAGGACTCTGCCCCCTTGCTGCTGAGTCACTCTTCATGCCCCCTGATGTTTGCTGATCTCCCTTTTCCCACAAAGAGAGACTGGGCTGGGCTCATGGGCATGGTACCCACTGGAATCTAATCCACGGGAACTCACTTTGAATTTGGGGTCACTGACTTTCCTTTTACTATTATAGTCTTCCTCCTTTAACAACTTAAGTTTTTCTTTTGTCAACAAGCATAAAAAGCTCCTCTTTAAAATAAGTCAAAGGAATGAAATAGCAAATCCTGATGCTGGTAACTGCAAATTTTACAGAGGCTGCCCAGGTGAATCACTGAAACTGGGGAGACATGGGGCTTGGAGATGCTCAGCGCCTCCCCCGCAATTCCATGAGACTCTCTTTTTCCCCTTGGGAATATCTTTCTTTTTGTTCTTACCGGTCCTTCTGCCCCATATTCTCTGATGCAGGAGCCAGTGTGAACAGCGATGCTCTCTCTGCAGCTGGCCCAGGGAGAGGGGGGAAGCGGTGAAGCCAGTGTCTGAACCCCTTTGGGAGCAGCTCCCTTCTCTGTGCCAGGAGGGTCTGACTTTCTGCCTGAGTTGGATTCCACACTAGTTCATTATTCAAAACTGGTTCATTATTCAAAACTGTACAAAGACAAAGTCAAGTGACCTAAAAAACTAAATATTTTTTCAAGTTATTAAATATGTATGTTGTGATGAGGAAGCAGAACATAGCACTGAGTCAAGATTTTAAATCAAGTTTTTCATTATGTATTTATTTAGATATATAACACCTTGTTGCAAAAAAGATATTGTGGCAACTTACAAAAACAGATAAAATACCACAGAAGAATAATAAAGAAATCAGGGTAAAAGCAGAAACCTAGAGTCTAGTAGGAGACTCAGTACAATTGTTAAAAATCCTCTCAAAAGTGACTTTGAGCTCCCTAGTAGCCAAAGCAACAAAAGTCAATACAATTTGTTACAACGGTTAGTTTGGAGCTTTGTATAAACTGACCTGGTTCAAATTATGACTCTACTACTTGTTAGATCTATAACCCTGAGCAGGTTGCTTTACCTCTGAACCTGAGGTTCATTACCTGTAAGGGGGAAAAGTAATGCAGTCCTTGGTGGTCCCTGGATGAATTAGCGATAATGTATGTAAAGGTGCCTTCTAGCTCTAGGAGGGTGCTGCCTGGGCGAAAGGACTTGCCCAAGCTTGCAAGTAAGAGGTGGAGCCAACCCAGGACTCCCTAACCCCCATCCAGTGTTGCGTCCTTTTGTCACTAAGTGGTTCCGGGACTGTCCCCGGGGAGGGTGCTTTGGAACACCTGCACCCTCAGGGCCCTCAAATCATGCCTAGTAAAACCTTATGGACTCACCTTAGGTGTAGCCCCCTAGGCAGGGTCCCTGTTATTTCCTCCCCAGACAGAACAGATTAGACATTAAGGCATGGAATCTCTAGAGAGGAGGCAAAGGCTACAGCCAAAGTCTCCTGATGTGCCACATTCAGAAACACCAGAGACAACGTCCTCTGGCTTCCACGCTGTGGTTGGCTAGAGGCGCCAGCCCTCCCCAGTCCAGGCCTGTCCTTGTTTGAAGTACCTGTTGCGAAATGCAGTAAGGTCCAAGGTGGGTCAAAAGAAGTCGATGGGGGTCAGGTTTCCTTGGGAAACCTGTTGCAGGCTCCACTTCCCCACAACAAAGCCCCAACAGCCTCCTATCCCTGGCAGAACAAAACTTGATTGAGAATTTTCCTTTCTCTGTTAAGGTATATTCACCTTCATTCCAAATGTGATTGGAGGCAGTCACTCCTTGGCTTGGCATTCAAGGCTCTTTAACCAGCTAATTCCAACCTCCTCAAGTGTCCCACGTGGCCTGGACACCCTGGGTAAAAGCGACGGTTACAGTTTCTGGGACTGCCACTAGGGCGACGCGCAGTTGGCGAAGAACAAAACTGACCAAGCCGGAAATTCTGACTTGACCAGAGAAGAAAGTGCCGCATCACCTGGGTAAGTCCCTTTACCTCAGTTTCCTCATCTGTGAAATGGGCATATTTAGAGTCTCTGCTTTCCATTGTGGAGATGCAAGGGGAGCATTCAGGTGGCACGTCCTGCCCTCTGCCGATGCTCAGCCAGTGAGGGTGTTGATGTTACCTGGCTTTGCAGCCTGGCTCTCCACCCAACTGCCTACGTGAAAATGACTTAACTTCTCTGGGCCCCACCTCCACCATCTGGAAAATGAGGGAAAAAAACACCATCCCACTCCATAACCCTTGTATTGAAAACAGAAGGGGCCTGGGGAATGTTTGAGGGCTGGAGCCAGCATCCTTCCTCCGATAACACTTGTGTTTGTTATTTAGTTTTTCAAAATAGTCTCTTACTTTTCCTTTTTCAATTTCACGAAGAAAGTGGGGCCTGAACACGTGTCACATGGTTGGGTTGTGATATCATGACAGGCACAGCCTTGTAACCCCCACACCCAGGGCCCAGGGCAACGCCGGGCCGTGCAGCCCCCTGAGGAGTGTCAGCGGAGCCCATGGGTGGGAGAGGCTGGATGGCCATCGCTATGAGTCAGGCCCTGCTTGGCTGGGTGTCATCATTCCCCTTTATTTCACGGGTGAGTTACAGCTTAAACCAAACATTTCACCTGACAATGCCTGCAAGAAATACATCCGGCACAAAGTGCATTTCCTTATACTCTTGGGTGGGCAGCTGAACTTCCTAGCCTAGCATCGCGTGTTCAAATATATAAATACCCCAGAGCTGGCAGGGGGCAGAATGAAGGTCGGAGTTGTATGGGGATCAGAAGTAGATACCCTTCAAGGGTGTTGAGATGGTTTGGGTGCTGGGGAGTCGAGCGCTTTCCAGTCAGATACAGACAAGGCCCTTCTAGAAGGAGATTGGCTGTGTCCTGTTCTCAGCTGACCCTGAGCCACCTTCTAAACCTTTGGTGAAACAGGGAGTGGACTGGAGAACTTCTTTCCTTAAAATACTTCTTTTCTAAAAGTATTGTCCAAAGCAGATCAGGGCAGCTCGAAGGTGCTTGTTTCCTGGGCCCCTGGGTCTGAGACCCCTGAGCCAGCTGCAGCACCAGGCCTGGCCACTTGTGTACCCTCAGCCCCCAGCCTGGTGAGGGCGACGCTGGCCCTGGCATCTCCAGAGCCTTTCCTTCCCTCCTAGCTTGCACCCTTTGGCTTTTCCCTGCAACCAGAGGTTGGAGGCGTCCCTTGGACCCAGCTGCTCATATTTCTCTGCTGTCCCAGCCCCCAGGCTGCTGGGCCACCCATTAAATGACCCGGTCAGCGCTGACAAAGGAAGCATGTTTTGTCCTGGTACCAGCCTGGCTTTGGGCTTGGGTCTTGCTCATGGCAGTGCTAGAGGTATCCCTGAGTACATGAAGGTTGTAGGTCGGGGGGTCAAAGGCCCAGAAAGAAAGGACAAGATGGGCCCCAAACCCAAGGGCTCTGGGAGGGATGGACCTGAGCCTGGACAGGTGGCCAAAGCCAGCACTTCTGGGTGGAGAGGGTGCCTTGGGGCCTGGCCTAGCTCCCTACCCCAGCAGGCAGCTGCCTGCAGCCTTCTCAGCTGCTGCTGCAGAAACAAATGACGGCACTGGTGAAGAGTAAGAAAATAAAATGAGTACAGAGGGAGGGAAACCTTGGAACAGGGGCTGGTGTATTTTCTTAGGGTGTGGTTTCTGCTCAGTGGCTGGGTGACCGTGGATGTTTGGAATGCGGTTGGACAGCGGGTGGGGTGTGGGTGGGAGACTGGCCAAAGGCAAAGAGCAGAGCCATTAGCCCAGGGGCCCAAAGTCCAGGGCCACCAACAGCTCACGCAGCACCAGGGCCTGGGGTGGCGCACAGGCCTCAACCCTAATGGATGAGCCACAAGGGGAGAGGGAAGGCCTGGAGGGAGGGGAGCGCAAGGTCGACTCTCCCCATCTGTCAAGCGGGGCTGTGATGAGAACATGGCCTGCATGATCCAAACGGGGGCCACTTCGGCAAGAGACAGTTGTCTCCGTGCCTCGGTGTCCTCCTCCATGAAATTTAGCGCTCTCCCCTCGCAGGATGGCCTCGGGAGGGGGAAGCGGGTTAGTGCAGGTGCTGGGCACAGTTCTCTGCAGGTGGAAGGGATGAATATTCCACTGGCTGCTGGGTAGTCTGCCCGGCCAAGCCACGCGCCTAGCAGGAGACCCACGCCTGGGTCTCACCGCTTCCCGCCGTGGCGAGCCCCTGCCCCGCACGCCTCTCCTGGGGGCCGGGGCCCGGCTCAGACCACGAAGTGGAGCGCGTAGGTGAGCTGGTGGCCGTTGTCCCAGGCGTACAGCACGCGCTCGCGGGGGTTGTAGTCCACCTGCGTGGTGTAGGCGTGCGCGTTGACGAAGGGCAGCTGCGGGCGCGCGTCGGTGCCCGTGTGCGTGTCGAAGGCGTAGGTCACCTGGCCCTCGCGCTGGCTGTAGGTGTCCACGGCGTACAGGATGCCGCACACCAGGAAGCAGTTGCCGTAGGAGCTGCGGCGCAGCCGCGTCCTCCACGTGGTCTCCCGCTGCACCGACAGGTCGCCGGGGTCCAGGCGGCTCAGCACGATCACCTCGGCCTGCGCGGCGTCGCGGTCGTCGGCGGCGGGGTAGATGACCCACAGGCCGCTCTCGTCCACGGCGAAGTCGATGTCCGAGTGGCCGCGCCACTTCCAGGGCGTGGTGTCCTCGTACACCACGTCGGGCAGCAGCGCCCAGGAGGCCACGAAGCGCTGCCGCAGGTCGTACTTGATGATGTTCTTGGTGAAGGCGCGGTTGTAGTAGAAGGCGCCCTGGTACACCACGTGGCCCGTGCCGATCCAGTTGTAGGGCAGCTTGTACATGTTACTCCAGCGACCTACGCGGGGGGGGGGCGGGGGGTTACATCGCAGCCGGGAGGGGGTGACGGCCGCGGAGCCCTCAGTCTGGCCCAGGCCCTTGAGCTGCCCAGTGAACTGTGGATACTGAGGGTGTCTGGGCCTGGAGCTGGGCCCCTGGTTCTATCATTGGAGGAGGAGGTGCTATTAGCGGCCCTCCTGCGAGGAGAAAACAGGCTCCGAAGGTTCGGGGTCACCCACTGACAGAATGGCACAGCCAGGGTCTAGGCAAAGCCTCCTCTGGCCCACGCTTCCTCTTGGGGTCTTTGCCTGTGCTGTTCCTTCTGTCTGGGCCACTGTCCCCCACCTCATCTACCTGGGGCTAGGCCTCCTTATCTGTTCGAGCCCTTAACCGAGTTAATCTCCCCCAGGAAGCCTTCCCTGATCTCTCCATGCTTGAGTGAGGGGCCTCTCCTCTGGCACCTGTAACCCTCTGCCTCAGCAGCTGTCACTGGGTTCCTTGCTGAGCTGCAGGGAACAGGGGCCAGGTCAATTTTGATAGGAAGGAGGAAGGACTCTGGCTGTTCCAGGTCACGCCTCTGACTCCACAGCTTTCATGATAAGTCCAGACAGTTTGGCGTGGCTCCCCAGCCCACTCATTATAGTCCACCAGCTCCCTTCTGTGCTGCCATGCTTCCTCGTTGCCCGGCCTCTGTGTGCAGGGCCTTCTCTCTGGGACACCTTTCCCTCTTCCTTCTGCAGGACCTACTCCCTGCTCTGCCTTCAGGCTTAGCTCGGCATCACTTCCTCTGGGAAGTCTTCCCTGATCTCCAGGCTGGGTTACCACAGCACCCTCAACTCTCTCTGTAATACTGTACAGCAACTGCCTCTTTAAGTCTTTGCCTCCATATCACACTGTACAATTTTAGAGGAAGGTCATAGCTAAGTGACCCCATCCCCCCATCATGCCCCAGATCAGATAACAAAATTTCTGCCCTTCCCTATTCTAATAGTCCCATGCTGGCCCCTGCCCAGACCTGCAGCTCCTCCTAAGGCCTGGGGCCCTGCTCACCTGGCAAACAGGGTGATAACCCCCACCTCCAGAGTTAGGAAGATGCCATAAGCTGATATGCACAGGGTGATTAGCAGGGAATCAGAACTCAACAAGTGGAAACTCTAAGTGTTGTTCCCCTGACGCTGAGTTACACCCATGAGGGCACCCCTCTTGTTTGCCCCTGACAAAGTCCAGGCCACCACACAGGGGACACCCCCAGATCCCCCTCCTTGGGATGGCTGAACATTCAGAGCTAGGCCAGATGAGGAAATCCGGACCACGGGAAACCACAGGGCAAAGGAGGACCATGTCTCCATGGTGGACCCTTCCCTGGCTATCCTCGCCCTGCCCCCACCCCATTTCTGGGGTCCCTGACCTTGCTTGAAGTTCTCCAGGTTTCGGAACTCCACCAGGCTGTTTCCATAATAGTAGTTGGTGACGTAGATCCTGTCGTCCCGTGCGGTAGGGTCCTTCATCCAGGCTCCCTCGTGGCGCCCGTAGCTGTGGTGCCTCACCGGGGGGTCCACGGCCCTCAGGGTGCCCTCACAGCTGGCCTCTCTGCCTGCAGGAGTGAGGGGTGCAGCTTCGGGTACACGAGCAAGGCCGCGAGCCAGACCAGTGCCGGGAGCGCTATCTGGGTCTGACTGAAATCCCTCCCGGTGTTTGCTTGCACCCCCCACCCGGCACGTTAAAAACCATCCTGATCAGGCAGAAAACACGCAGCCTTCAGAAGGAAGGAGAATGCAGAAAGCAAAAATCATTCAAAATCCCGTTGTCCAAAGAAATGTTTGAGCCGGTTGTATTTCCTTCCTTTTCTTTCTTTGCATGTACAATCACGCAGGCGTACTGAAAAAAACCCCTTCTGAACACATTTTTATGTATCCTGTGTTCGCCTCCACTGAGCATTTTCTCACATCATTAAGTGGCCTTTTACCGACGAGACGGTTTTTTTCCAATTTTCTGACTTTAGAAATAAGCTGTGAGGAGACCAGATCAGCTGCAGCTGTGGTAACCTCTCTGGTGGAAACTTCAGGAAAGATTCCTGGAAGTGGCGTGGCGCTGGGGATGGAGTGCAGGCTTATTATCACAGGTAGCCAAGTGCCTTCCAGAAGGATCGGCGCCCTGACATAATAAGAAACATCTCTACCCAAAGACAAGCCCAAGATCAAAATCGGGCCAGAGAGTGGACAGGGGAAATTAAGAAATGAAAAGAGGTGCTGGATTTGATGAAGGCGTTCTAGGGAGCGTTTGAAGAAGAATTTGTTGAAACTACTGCCTATTTCACTCTAAATGTGGTCAAAGGTTTTCTGTGAGGGATCGGGTAGGAAGCACTTTAGATTTTGCAGACCATGCAACTCCCGACCCATATTCCTCTCTCTCTCTCTCTCTCTCTCTCTCTCTCTCTCTCTCTCTCTCTCACAACCCTTTAAAAATATAAGAACCATTTTTAGCTTGAGGGCTGTGCTGGAAAAACAAACAAACAAAAAAAAAACCCACAAATAACCAACCTGCCAGGCTGCAAGCCGGATTTGGCCAGGGCTGTAGTTGGCTGCCTCTGTGAGGCTCACTCACCTTGGCTGGGGACGTCTGCATGGGAAGGTGGCTCGGTGGGCAAGGGACGGGTGGTGGGAGTGGGGGTGAGGGTGGGAGTGGGGTCCGAGGTGGGGCTGCCCCGGGCCAAGTCCACTCCCTCCGAGGCCACAGGCCCAGCCTCATCATGCTCAGCAGAGTTGGGCTCTGGTGGCCTGCCGTCCGCCCTGGGGGGCGGCTGCTCCAGCCAGGAAGTGCCCTTGAGGGCATTGTCTGTGGAGAGAAGACGGTGTGCTGATATCCCAGCTGCTCAAGGCCCTCCCGGGACCCAGTGGGCTCCCAGCTCTGGGATCCTGAGGCAGAAAAGGGGAGTCCTGGGGAGTGAAGACCTCCAAGTAGGAGGCGGTGGGGGGGCTGGGGAGGCCTTGGTGGTCAGCAGACTGGCTCTGCTCCCCCAACTGAGTAGCCTCAGCAGCTCCCCTGCCTCAGTGGGTCTCAGCGTCCTGCTCTGTAAAACAAGAGGCACGCTGTCCACCTCGTGAGGCTGGAGTGGCGCTGGGGATGGAGTGCAGGCTTATTATCACAGGTAGCCAAGTGCCTTCCAGAAGGATCGGCGCCCTGTCATAACAAGGAAAACATACGCAAACATTGGCGCAGGTGCTGGCAGACACGGACCCCGTTCCTTCCTAAGTGCTGAACTCTGTTCCCCTCGCCCTCATTCCGCAGAATCACCTCCTGGAGGGGAGGTGAATTTTACAGGCTTTTTTTCCCTTTATCCCTGGGTGCCCACCCTCTGCTTCCTTGGACCCAGTTGTCTGACTTCTTGCTTTCTTCTCCCTGCCTGGCATCCGCTCTGTCCAGGGGTCCAGCTGGCCCTGCTGTGTGGCAGCCCGTGGACCCTTCTGGGATGGAGCACACCCTCTGGCCAGGCCGGGGGCCTGGGCTCGTCAGCCTGCCAGGGCAGAGTCACATGCGGCAGCTGTTTCTGGGCAGTGCCCCAGCCAGGGGTCAGAGGTCTGGGCAGTGGCCAGGATGAGCTGGCAGGACTGGGGGCCAGCAGCTGACACCGGGGTTGGAGGCCCCAGAGCCCCCGGGAGATGCAGAACAAGGGAGTCCTTGAAGGAGTCCCTCGCAGACCGTGGCCCTGCCCCCTGGGCATGGGCCGGGCAAGGGGCCTCCCTGAGGAGGTATCAGCAGAACCCATGAAGGGGCACAGAATTGGGTCACCAAAAGAGATCAGGCATCTGGAAAGGGGGGTTCAGGGAGGGATCAGGAGATACCCCAGCAGAGACGGCTCAGAAATGTGGGTACTCAGAACTTTTCTCTTGTCTCTCCATTCATTACTTTGCTGCCCTTCTCTGCTCTGGCAGGAAGCACAGACTACAGTCCATACAGTAGTCTGCGGGGTCTCCTCTGGGAAAAGAAGGCGGAGGAGCTGGAGAGGCTACAAGGCCAGTCTGGAAATGAGAGGGATCCCCAAAGACCCCATGTCACTTGCCAGGAGCCTGGCCCAGCTGTAGCCCCCGGGCTCTCTCACCCCACCTCTGGCATCTGGTCCTGGACATGTTTTTTCCCACTAGACTGTGAGTTTCAAGTTAAGGCAGACTCTTGGAGACATAAGTACATGGTGGACCTTCAGCAAATCTTTGCTTGAAAAGGAAAAAGCAAGCGAGGGGGAAGACGCCTGTAAATTCTGGAGAGGCACCCAGTGGCCCTTTCGAACGGTTTTATCATTTCATCCCCAATACCCCCATGAGGGGTTGAGCAAAGGGCAGCAGCAGGTAACCAGCAGAAGTGAAATCTGGGTCAGTCTGACTGGAGAGGAGACTCCGGGTCAGGGTAGAGAACCATCCATGTGCTAACTCCATTCCCCACGGCTCCAGTTCTCGCCAACTCACCAGCCACGGCCTCGGTCGCTTCCTTCTTGCCTGCCTTGTAGTAGGTGATACCTCGGATCACGGCCTGCTGCTGAGCCAGGGCCCGCGGCTTGGCTGTGGGCTGGGTGGATCTTCCCTTGCTGCCCTCCCTCCTGAGCTTCTCTGCCTTCAGCAGTTTCTCCTTAGGGGGTTTTGAGGGGCCCCTGTCCACAAAGCTCTTCTGCACGTTGCTGTATTTGTCGGTGTCTTTGCGTCTCCCTCCAGCTGTGTCCTGGGAGAGAAAAGAGTCTCAGATTTGCAGATGGTATGGGAGGTGATGTGGGGGCTCAGGGAGGCTAGCCTGGCGGGGGAGGGGGGGGATGCTCTAGACCCTCCATCCCGTGTGCTCACACAGTGAGCCTCCCATGGTGGCTTCCTCCATAACTAGGGTGGGTCTCAGCTTCCCCCTTGGCTCTAGCTCCCCTGCAGGCTTGAGGCCCAGCCTGGGAGGTTGGATTCCTGTCCCCTTTCCCAAATGCTGTCCCCCCCAATTCCAGCGAGGTTGCAGGCCAGCTCCCTGGAGGTAGCCAACCACCAGCCCAGCTTCCCATCTGTCTCTCACTGGTCTTTGTGTGGGGGCAGAGGAGAGGTTCTCAGGCCCCTAGGCGTGGTGACCCACTCAGCTCAGTGTGCCTGGAACTTTCCCAGTTTTAGTGCTGAAAAGTCTGTGTCGGGGAAACCCTTCCATTCTGGGCCCACCGGGCAGGTTGGTCGCCTAGCAATAGGGTGTGCGTGCTTAATGTCTGGTAAGTTATGGTATTTTCTCTTCCTTCTATTTTATTTTTTTTAATAGGCCCGAGATCTTTTATTTATTTACTTTTTCCACTCCTGTCACGCCACGGAGCCACAGGGAGTGGGCCCCAGCAGCCAGTGCACTTCCCAAGCACCTTTCTCCTTGGCTTCCTTTTTGGTCCTTGTCTTTCTCTGTTCCACGCGTTTCAGGACGTGGTCTCGGCTCTGCACGTGCTCAGTGTGCTCAGTTGCAAACGTGGATTCTCTTGGCCAGAATCTTGCCCTTAACTTGTTTGTTTACAACAAAGCCAACTGCATGCTGGGTGGCACCGTAGACACTTCCAGTGTTGCCATGGTAATAGGTGTGTGCCTTCCGTTTTGAACACGGCCCACCCCCTTGATGCCCACAGTGCCACCTTTCCTGTAGTTTCTCATGGATGTGGCCAGAGGGACACCCCAAGTTTCCCGAAAGGCCTGGAGGGCACAGGGCGGGGCCTCTCCTCTTACCCTTTGTGTTGGTCCTTTTGGCCACTGGGAGACCAAGGTTCCGGCCCACAGGCTATTTTCACTTCCTCTTAAACACCCCCTGTGCTGGCCTGGCACGAGAACACAGGGCCTGTGCCATCACCTATTGTTAGGCTGATTTCAGGAGATTCAGCAAGTGGGGTATCTGGCTGCCTTCACTCCTATGGACTTGGCACCAGAATGGGGAGGAAGCCAGCTCTGGGCCAGGGCACCGGCCTCCTCCAGGCTTTATCGGGCTGGAGGAGGTTCCAGCTGCAGACACAAAGGGCCCGTCGTCATGGTGTCAGCCCAGGAGCGGAGGCGTGGGGAGGAAGAACCTGGGCTTGGCACTCACACAGACCCCGAGTGGCCACCCTCTTTCCATGCCTCCTTGTCTGCCAGCTGGGGGTGCATGTCACAGGTGGTCATGGGGTGAACTAGGATCATGTCTGGGCGGAAGTCGGGGTGAGAGCAGGCTCCCCAACAGACGAGGCCGGAGTGGAGAGCGCAGCGGTCTGCGTCCGCCCCCGGCGCCGGTCCTTTGGGAAAGGGGCGGAAATCCACTCGGTGCTGCAACTGCCTTTCCCACCCCGGGGTGTGTCCATCACAGGAGGGGCTCCTCTTTCTAATCTTCTGCCCAGAGGAAGAGCCTTTTCTGTCATCTGTCTGCGGACAGGAGGGCCTTTTGCAAATGCGACCAAGGTGTGGTGTATGTCCCGGGAGCCTCTGCTCACTCTGCTCTGAGCTGGAACCGGGCACGTCTGAGGTGCGCGGCAGGAGTCCACCCCAGGCTGGTTACATGAGCTGGTATAAGTCTGCAGGGCCCCTGAGACAGGGCCCACCTACCCCTGAGCAGGCCTGACCCAGCCAGGCTCCCAACCACAGCAGGGGAGGCGGGAAGAGTTAGCCTGCAGCCCACCTGGTGTCCCAGGCCAGGCAGGGAGGGGATCCCTGCAACCTCTCCACTGGTCTGGAAAAGTGAATGAGAAGACTGCGCACCGCCTGGCTCAGGGGACGGGCATGCGGCGGGATGCCCATGTCTCCTCTCGCTCCCCTGAGCTGACTGCACCCAGTCTATGATAGGCCCCTACCCCCCGACACCCGCCCACCATGGGCTTTCCCTCTGTGCCCGCCCCCAGTCCTGCCCGACAGTCTGGAAACCCTCCGCCCTTCCAACTGGCGCTCAGGGCCGAGGCGCTGGCATACTGGCTCCCGAGCCCACCCGCCTCTGCCCCCACTACCAGAGTTCCGGCCCCACCTGCGCTTTGCTGCCTGGGCCGGTGGTGGCGGCAGCAGGGGCAACGGCAGGGACCGGGGCCCCGTCCTTCTGCAGCAGCTGGAGGCTCAGGCTGGAGAGCTCCTTCTTGAGGCTCGTCATGATGGCCGAGTGGTTCTCGTAGCGCCGCAGCTGCTCGCTGACGTGCCGCATGCTCTCCCGCACCACCTCGTTCTCCCGGCTCAGGTTGGCCTTGACACTCTGTGGGGGCAGGACCTGAGGTCTTTCCTCTGACCCACCCCCTCGTCCTGGGGACAGACACCCCAGCCATCGGGCTTGGTGGCCCAGTCTGCTGAGCAGGGGCTTGCGGGTCACAGTGGGGAGCACCAGTGAGGACAGAGAGGCAAAGCATGCTGCTCAGAGACCCTGTCGTTACTCATTTTTTATCTAAAAAATGAATGAAGGGCCTCCCTGGTGGCGCAGCGGTTGAGCGCCGGGTTGCGAAGCTGCCTGCAGCCTCTGCAGCGCCGGTTCGATCCCCGGGTGCTCCCCGGCCACCGGAGGAGGATCCTGCATGGCACGCAGACCTCTCCTGCCGCCCGCTGCTCCCCTCAGCAGTGTACTTCGGTCTTTCTGCCTGCTCTGCTCCCCGCTCTGGCTCTGGTGAATTCTCTCACCCTCCCGCGCTTCTGACTATACCCAGTGCTTGTATAAATAAATAAATAAATCTTTAAAAAATAAAAAAATAAAAAACGAATGAATAAAAAAACATGGATAAAAACGAATACTTCTCTGCAGTAGCTGGGACATGGACGCAGCTGTGATCTCCCTCCATGGGTGAACAGAGCAAAAAGACACGGTACATCCACGCCATGGAATATCACGCAGCCACAAGAAAGGATGAAACGCAGCCATTTTCAACACAATGGAGGAAATTTGAAAGTCATGTACAGCAGAGCAAGTCAGGATGATAAAAACAAATACTGGACAATTCAACAACAAACGCACTTTCAAAAACTACTGACGTCAGCAAATGTCCTGCGAGCCCTGAGGTGGGTGGGTGGGGAAGGGGAGGGACAAGGAGACACACAGGGTGGTGGTGGGGAAAAGAAATTAAACAAAAAAAGTAGAGGGGCCTCCCTGGTGGCCTCCCTGGTGGTGCAGCGCTGTGAAGCTGTCCGCAGCCTCTGCAGCGAGAGTTCGATCCCTGGCCAGGGAGCTACCCACATGGCACAGCAGACCTCTCCTGACTCGCCCGCTGCTCCCCTCAGCAGTGTATTTCAGTCAGTCTGCCTGTTCTGTTCCCCACTCTGTCCCTGGTGGATCCTCTCACGCCCCACACCTCTGGCCTGTACCCCAGTTCTTGTATGCATACATAAATCTTTTTTTTAAAAAAAGTAGAGAAAAGACAATGACAGATTGGGAGGAATGGTCATAACAAATGCACAACAGTCCTAACGCCCAGTATACACACAGCCTTACGGACTGATGAGGGGGGAAGAAATGGGAGTGCATGATGATGGCACAGAATTAAAAAGATATAACGGGGGGCCTCCCCGGTGGCGCAGCGGTTGAACGCTGGGTTGCGAAGCTGCCCGCAGCCTCTGCAGCGCCGGTCGGTTCGATCCCCACTGCTCCCCGGCCACCGGAGGAGGGTCCCGCATGGCGCGCAGACCTCTCCTGCCACCCGCTGCTCCCCTCAGCAGTGTACCTCGGTCCTTCTGCCTGCTCTGCTCCCCGCTCTGGCTCTGGTGAATTCTCTCACCCTCCCGCGCTTCTGGCTGTACCCAGTGCATGTATAAATAAATAAATAAATCTTTTTAAAAAAATGTTAAGTGCTTTACTGTTTGAAAAGTGTTAATACAATCTTTTTTTTTTAAAAAAAGATATAACGGGGTATAAAAAGTATCTCCCCCACCTTTTTTCTTAGTGTCAACAGCTGTGACAGGTTCCTTCCTTTCCTCTGTCCCCGCTTTCCTTTCCTCCTTCCTTTCTTTTCCAAACTCTGTCCTTTTTCACTTGATCCTGTTTTGCGGAAAGCTCCAGATCTGCACCATTCTGCCTGCCCCGCCCATTCCTTTCACTGGTCAGAGGGTAGGCCATGGTGTAGATGGGCAGTGTTTCATGGAGCCAGTCCTTTATGGATGGTCATGTAAGTTGCTAGAAATCTTTTGCTACTTTATATTTACCTTTTAGTTTCACTTATAGTATATGTATATGAGCGCGCACACACACACACACACACACACACACACACACACACCCCTTCATTTTGTAAAATACCCAAATAGTGGTGCTCTGGGGTTTTGCTATGGGTGATCTCTGATCCTTCCTAGTCTCCAGGCCTTGGGCTGCTCTCCTGTTGGCTCCTCCCACAGCACTAGCCCCACCTGAACCACACTTTTGTTCTCCTGATTCACCTTGTCATCCCCTTGCTGGGCACCCTGCCTGGCTTTTGCCATCCCAGCCTCCTGAGAATCTACCCCTGGTTCTGAATCCTGCTGAGAACAGATGGGCCGGTAGGAGCCACCATGTTCCTCTCTGTGGACGCCCCCTTACCTAGGGATCCCCGTCACCAGGCTGTCACCCAGACTGGCCTGGTTCATGGGGCAGGACTCAGGAAGCCTGGGCAGCCTGGCAGGTATTGGCTCCAGGTGCCCAAAGCCCCAGCAGGTCTGGGGAGTATGTGGAATTCCTTTGTGTGAGTCTACTTCTTAGCTGAAGCAGGAGAGACCACAGGAGATGCAGGAAGCATCTCTTTGCTGTGGACCTGCAAAGTATCAGAATTAGGCGTCCAGAATTTCATTGATAGATATTCTGAGAGGAGAAAATGAGCTAAAAACGATGCATGTGCAGTCAGCCCTGGGTGTAGAGTCAGGTCCCAAGAGGCTGGATTCAAGTCCTTGCTCTCTGCTCCCTGGCTGGGTTACCCTGAGCTAATGACTTTACCTCTCTGAGCCTCAGTTTTGTTTTTAAAGATTTATTTATTTATTTATTTATACATGCACTGGGTACAGTCAGAAGCGTGGGAGGGTGAGAGGATTCACCAGAGCCAGAGCGGGGAACAGAACAGGCAGACTGACGAAACACACTGCTGAGGGGAGCAGCGGGCGGCAGGAGAGGTCTGCGCGCCATGCGGGACACTCACCCGGGGAACGACCGGCGCTGCAGAGGCTGCGGGCAGCTTCGCAACCCAGCGCTCAACGCTGCGCCACCGGGGAGGCCCCTGAGCCTTGGTTTTCTTGCTGGTAAAATGAGGATCATTATGATCATAACAGCTAAAAGTCAGGATTACTGAGAGGACCGGAAAGGCTCCGGATGGGGAAAATGCCTTATGAACTAGCTCGCAGAGAAGTCAGATGGCGTGAGCCGGGTTTCTCGGCCTCGGCACTACGGCCGTGTGTCAGGCTGCTGTGCGTGTGGGGGGCTGTTCTGGGCGTTGCGGGACATCTTGTGTCCTCCCTGGCCCCAACCCCAAGAAGCCAATAGCTTCTCCCCTCTCCCCCAAACTGCGACAACCAAAAATATCTCCAGATATTGCCAACTCTTTCCTGGGGAGCAAAATTGCCTCTGGTTCTGAATTGCTGACGAAGGGAAGAGATCAGGGGGATGCTGGGACCCCAAATGGCTGCCTGAACCCTGGGGTTTTTCCTTGGGCAGAGGGAGCCAGTTCCTCCCAAGTGAGGCTATTCCCCCCTCCTGCCAGGGCTAGCAAAAGGCTTGTTTCCCATAGAGCTTTCAGTGAACAGAAGCAAAGTACAGATAATGCAAAACAGAAGATAATTCACAAATCATTTCTTTGTGGCTGCGGAAATCATGTCTGATTTGTTCCAGTCCCAACAGACATTTCCTTCAGATCCTCTGGCTCAGTTATGTGAAATGAGTTAACATTTCCTAAGATTACAAGAGGAAAGGGCAAAGGAGGATACCTTCAGAGCCACAAGAGAACCTGGCACACTAGGTGCACAGGAAATATTGGTACAATGGAGAAATTCAACAATTGTTACCCTTTTCCCTGCTGACTTGGGCGGGCCCATGGAAGGCACTCATCAAACACATTTTGAATAATTAAAGCCACTGTGACCCCAACCTTGGGGGCTAGTAAGGGGTTAATCCCCACCCCCACCCCGGGTACAGGATGCCCAGGTTGCCCCCTCCTTCTGGAAAGGAAGTGGGAAAGGAAGCCCCCACGCCTGCTCCTGGCAGCTGCATGTCCCCAGGCTCCCCACAGCCCAGCAGAGGCAGGATGCAGGAAACAGGCAGACGCCAGGCTGTGCCAGCAGAGAGGCAAACCCCGACGCTCCAGCCTGACCCTCCATGCTCACCCTGCCTGTCCCTGTCCTTGGGGAAGTCCCTGTCACCCACCCAGCCTTCCAGTACCCTCCATCTCTCTGCCAGCAGCTCCCTGCTGGGGACCCGCCTCCGGTGGCCACCAGGGACTAGCCAGAACTGCCAGACCCCTTTGGACACTGGTCTCACTCCCAGCACCGTATACCACCTTGGCCTCTGGCTCGAACCCCAGCCCTTACCTCTTCCAAGGTGTCCATCTGGGAGGCCACCTTGCGGATGTAGGCATGCACTTTCATCAGGTCCAAGCTGTACAATGTGCCCTCCAGGAGATCCACCATGGACTGCAGCTGCGGGGAAGGCAGAGGCTTAAGGGACAGGCCCAGCGCAGGGTCAGGCACAGAGGGTGCAAAAGGAGCCCCACCACAGCACAGAAGTCCAGGTGGCCTGCTCAGGCCCTCCGTGCTTGCGGGACCCAGCCTGCTAGCAGTCACGAGAAAAGCAACCAATGTCATCTTTACGCATTTCCATGCACCGATGTCATCTTTATGCATTGCCATGTGGTGGGCACTGTGCTAGGGGCTTTAAGGAGTTAATCCACTTCATCCTCACAACCACCCTACCAGTGCACACCGGAGTTGCTCCCCCACAGCCCCTGGCATCCTTCTTTCTCTCGAGCCCACCCCCAGCTTTGTCGTGCCCCCTTGGAGCAGCCTGCATCCCTGAATCTTCAAAGGGCTGTTGCACCCCAGAGCACACGGGAACGTATTCTGTCCTCCTGGGCAGCCCTTGGGTGATGATCTAACTGGTATCGGCGTCTAAGAGCCCAGCTCCCTTGCCCCAGTAAGACAGCTGAGCTGTTTCTCACTCTCCAGCGTCCCCTGGGGCTGAGGCTGGCACCTGGCCAGAGATCACACCCTGGCTGGGCTCTATCCCCTATTGGGGGTTCCCGTCTCCACTTCGGTACCAGTTTATTCTAAGAAATCACCTGCACATGAATCACTCGCCTCAGGGTCTGTTTCGAGGGACCCAACCTAAGACAAGGTTTGGCCAACTTTTATCTTTATCTGACGGATTGGGAAGCCACAGCTGGGAGAGGTGACGTGACTTGTCCAGGCCACCTGGCTGTTTGGGGTAGAGCTGGGAACAGAACCCAAACCTCTTTCCTGTCATGCAGGATGGCTCCTGTCTTATGGGCAGATGGGGAAACTGAGGCCGAGCGAGGACTAGGGCTGGCACAACAGGTCAGTGGCAGACACTAGGTCTCTATCACCCAGCCCAGGGCTCTTCCCTGCAGCTGCCCCTCTCCTCCCCTCCCTGCCACACCTCACAGGGCAGGACACTTCCGTCCAGATGACCAGGATGCCAGCCAGAGCATCAGGGAAACTGTGGCTCAAGATTCCAGTTGGGAAACTGGCTCTCCCTGGTTTTGCAACCCTCCCATGTGGCCCCCTCCGGGCGCTGCATTTCCTGTGGCCTGAGCTGACAGTACGCCTGTCTGGTCCCGACCAGCTGTTTCCAAAACAGATTCACTCTCGCTCCCCCAGGGGTGTTCCGGCTGTTTTAAGCCAGAGAGCTCTTCTCCCATCAGACTCTGATCTCTAAAACAGAAATGGGGGTGAGGGGGTGGAGGTGGGCTCTGATGGAAGCAGGGATGGGGACTTGACTCTTTCTGCTCCTCTGCAAGCTTACTCAGGCCCTGAGGGTTGCATGGCACCCCTAGGACTTTGTGGAACACACTTTGAGAACCACACACTTAACCTCTTAGGTGTCCCAGCTTCCTTCTCTGGGAGACTGGAGACGGTTGTGGTGAGGAACGGGGCTCAGCACAGAGTGGGTGCATGGCAAGTGCTTGGGAAGCAGCCTCCGGGCTTCCCTCCGCTTTGGCCAGGGTCTCTCCACGGCGATATAACTTGACCTGCCTCCTTGCTGGGCGTGTGTGCTCCCTGCTGCCGTTCATGTGCTTGGCATTCGGGCCCTCATGATCAGCCCCTGCCACCCTCCTTGACCTCAGCAAATGTTTACTCTGGGCCTAAGGATGGTGATGAACAAGACAGACATGAGTCTTCACCAACACAGCGAGTAACACACAGGTGCTCAGATCATGAATGATGGGGGGCTGGCCTTATCTGGGAGCAGCTGTGGATTAGGAGTCTGCCAGGAGGAAGTTTTGTTTGAGCCGAGTTCTGAAGGCGGAGCACAGATCAGGCAAAGGTGGGTGGCAAGGGAGGGGCATTCCAGACAGAGGGACAGCTTGTTCAAAGATCTGGAGGGGAGAGACGTGGCATGTTGGAGCCCTGCTTCTCAAAGTGTGGTCTGCGGACCAGTGCCGGTCCAGACTGCTAGTTACTAATCCGAATTATGAAATGTGAAAGGGGTTCTGACAAACTTTAAGAATCATTTGACAATTTTGTATCAATTTTGTAACAATTTTGTATCTGGTAACTCCCTAAGTAAGACTTGGGGCTTGTATTTTGAATGTCTGCTTTCAATTTCATTTCATTTTTCTAATAATTTTTTTTCAAAGTATTTTTTACCAAAGTATTGGTATTGGACAGAGTTTTTAAACAACAGGTCTTTGGACACAGATAATTTGAGAAGCAGTGTGTTGGAGGCATTCATAGCTGCTGTGACAGAGAAACTGCGGGGAAGCAGCCTGCACCAGACAATGCCTTCATTTCTCCTCTGACAGACTCCTACACATCCCTCAAAGCCCAGATCTAATATTATCATCTCCTCCAGGTTCACATGGTACCTGAGACATCCCTTGGCCCGGCACCGATTGCACTGTTGAGGTCAGAAGCTGTGTTCCCACAAGCCTGGGGGTTCTAAAAGGGAAGGCCCATGTCTGGGTCATGTCCAGAAAGAAAGGGAGTGAAGAGGCCAGGGGCAGGCCCTTGCAGACAACCTTCCCAAGAAAAGGGATCAGGGATGCCCTCCCTCCTCTTCAGAGTCATGCAACTAAGGCCAAACCACAGCTGGAGAGCTTAGCTTGAGGAGAAGGCTTGGGGTAGAGGCAAGGGGTGGGTGGAGGGTGGTTGTGCCAGCCCTCCCTTATGGGCTTCCCCTAATGTCCTCCCCTTGGGACTCCTATTCCAGCCTCCTGCTGATGCAGGGAGAGCCAAGTCAATGGGAGAGGCCTCTGTCGCCTTCTCCTCTTCGACTTTTCTGGGTTCCCCTCAGGTATCAGCTCCCCTCAGGTATCAGTTCCCCTCAGGCATCAGAGGGAGAATATCTTCTCTTCCTCTCTAGACCCACCTGCTGGGGCAACCCCACCACCACCCCACTGCAATCCTCTAAGGCTGACTGAAAACCCCCAGGCCATTGCACATGGATGAGGTCTAAGGGACAGTGGGATCCTGGCTGAGAGAGCTGCCTAGTGACCCTGGCAGTGGACATGGGGCCACAGCAGAGATTTCCTGGGGTCAACCTGTAGTGCTGCTAATTTCTTGCTGTGTGATCTTAGTCGAGCCATGATCCCTCTCTGGGCCTCAGATTCCCTCAGAAGTAAAGCCGGGTCCAAAAGTTCCCTCTGCAAAGGGTTGTGGTAATGGTAAAGTAGCTAGCATCAATAGCAAGGTTTTGTGTATCCTCGTGTCAAGGCTGCTTAGTTTAGTTATTGAGGAGCAGATTTGAGTAGGAGTTGGATTTGTTCTGGAGCTGAAATCTGGCTACGGCCTTGGGGTTTGGAGTCGGAGGACCCTGGCCAGGCCCCAGGGAGGGCGATCCAGCCGCTGCCAAGTTGTCAATAGGCCCTTGGCTTAAAATTCAAACACCCTCCCTCTAACTTTGAGAGTTTTGGTATCCATTCAGTTGTTACAAAACTAAAAGTGAAGTGAAAATTTTAAAGGAAAGACTTTTAGCCCAATGCCCAGAGGCAATTATTCAGTCTGCCTGTGTGTCTTGGATGCAGAGCTCCTGACTATCTTCGTTGCAGGCCATCTCAAACCATGAGCCACCCTGGAACACAGAGACGGCGTTTCCTTCTGGAGCAGGGAAGGCTCAGCACCCACTTTAGAAGATGTAGACCCCTTAAGCTCCGAGCTCCTCTCTTGAAAAACAGCCCCTTGGGGTGCACGTGCTGCCCAACCCTCATTGCAGCACCCCGTGGATTCCAGAGTTGGGAGAACCAGTGCAGGAAAATGTGGGTGCTCTGGCCACTGTGAGTAAAAAAGGCCCTTGTCTCTGAACCCGGAGGCTGGGTTCTCCTGTGGCATCTGTGACACTGGCAGTGAACTGGTTAGCTCACCAGCAGGGGAACTTCTCAGCCACCTTCACAGTTCTTGATACCAAAAAAGGCAAAGTAGATACTCATATGTTTGAAAGACATTATAAAAGAAAAAGATGTTGTCAAAAGACACTAAGTAGTCTGTCCCTTTACAAAAGGAGGACAGGAGCAAGGTGGCTTAGGAGCTATGCATTAGACACAGCAGGACCTGGGTTCAAGTCCCACCCCCCGCCCAGCAGCATGGACTTGAGCACGGCACGGATGGCGCAGAGGGGCCTGATGGCTGTGGGGTTGTGATCTAGGCCACACAGGCCAAGCCATGGGTCCTGCTGGCAGGCCCTGGCCTGGGCTGTGTCCCCCAGAGAGGGTGTTTCTTTCTAATCTGCCAGTGGTGGAGGGAGTGGTGGTACAGCCTTCCCGTAAAAGGATAGTGTAGAGGTTCTGTGTCACTTGTGGGAGCTTGGGCAGGTTACCTAATGTCTCCAAACCTTAATTTTCTTGCCCATGAAATGAGGACAGATCCCCTATTTCACAGAGTGGTTTAAAAATTTAGAGAAATAATGTGTTTAGCATGACATCTGGCCTGCAGATGGTCCTTGAACATGGGAAATGTTACTACATTACAGACTACAGAACGCCACAAAATTTACAATTTTAATACTATGCAGGTCGCCCCCATTATCTGAAAATAGAAGGTTCCTATTTGGTGTGATTCAGTAGGTCATTGTTGGGATCTGGGAATTTCAGTACCATTAATTAATATGAAAACTTTTGTGCATTTCCTGACTCCCCAAAACAACCTACCAAATCATACTGGATAGGAACCCTCTATTTTCGAATAGTGGGGAAATCTGTATAAAGGTGCTGACAGATGACCTGGTTAGGGGAAACAGGGGGCACAGGACTAGATGCCAGGGGTTATACTCAGCAAACATCAGAGAATCCTGCCCCCAAACTGGCCCAAAGGCCTTGGGCAAGAAGCGGCACCCCCCTCAGGGAGCCTCTGCTTCCTCACCTGTAAAAAGGGGTGATAACAGCCTCTGCCCTGGTGTGTGTGTGTGTGTGTGTGTGTGTGTGTGGACTTTCCATCAGGACGCCTGGCGCCAGCCTATGCCAGGTACTCCCTATGCCCAGCCTATGCCCAGCTATTCCCATTCTGCGCTCACCCCAGAAAGTCTACCTTGAGCAGCTCGGGTGCCTGCTTCTTGAGTTTCTCCATCTTCCACTCGTTCTCGCAGGGGTTGAGCGAGGAGGGCGGGGCGGTGCAGGAGCAGCGGCAGTCGGTGCCCGAGCTCACGGTCTCCACGGTGTAGAAGTCCTCCACCCGCGCCCGCCCGCTGCGCACCCGGCTGCACGCGTCCTTGGCCAGCGGCCGCAGGATGCACTTGCAGCGGCAGTCGGAGCCCTCCGAGGTCATCCGCACCTGGTCCTCGCCGCCGAGTATCTGCAACGGGGGCTGGGTGAGCCGGAGCTGGGGGCAGGGGAGAGGCGGGAGAGAAGAGGGAGGCGGAGGGTGGCACCACCCGGCCCGCCCGTGACTGGGGAGGAGGAGGGCCGAGAAGCCAGTGACACTTGCAAGGAGATAAACCCCTTCACAATAACAGAAACAAAAGGTGAATCGACACTGTGAGAACCGTCTGGCCGTTCTTCAGGTGGCTAATCATGGAGTTACCATGTGACCCAATAATTCTCCCAGGTATATGCACCCAACATTTGAAATCAGGCTTTCAAACCAGGAGGTGCATGCAAATGTTCACAGCAGCGCTCTTCACACTAGCCACTGGGTGAACACAACCCATGTGTCCTTCATCCCGTGAATGGATAAACACGCAGTATATCCATGCGAGGGAATAGTATTCAGCTGTGAAAAAGGGATGACACGTGCTACAATGTGGATGAGTCTTGAAAACATTATGTTAGATTAAAGAAGCCAGGCACAAAAGTGAACCATGTGACCTCAAAGAGATTATATAACCTCTTGGAACCTCCAACCTGCAGTGACGAAATGCACCCCTCTCTGAACCTGACCTCCTAAGTGAGGACCGAAAGAGGTAAGATGACCTTACCTCTAGTTTTTAGCAGTTTCCCTTCAATCCCACCCTGGAGTGTCACACTTTCCAGATGTGGTCACTGGTCACTGGGGGCAGCAGAACTTTGTGCCCCCAAGAGTCAGCTCAGTGAGATCATTGGCAGGTGCCAGGCTCAGTCACTGCTTCTATCCTGCCTTGCCCTGACACACCAGCTGGTTGTGGGCACCCCAGCCAGCAGCTTCCCCTAGCTGGCTCAGCCAGCCTACCCCGGGCTCCAGGCTCTTGGGATACAGCTGTTCGTGGCCCAGTCACACATATCCCAGGCCTCCTGGCTGCTCTTCTCTCCCTGAAGCCATCTGGACCCAAATGAGTTCATGGCCCCCTTGGGCCTTCCCCGAGTGTCCCAGCGCCCTCTGGGGAAGAGTGGTAGCACTCTGTGTCTGCTATGAGCCCTCAGACACTTTTTTGAGTGTTGTGGCCTCTTCCAGACCCTCAGTGACAGTTGGAGGTGTAAAAGAACTAGATCAAGGTGCATCGACCTTCACAGTCATGGAAGAAGCTGGCATGGTAAGCTCTGAGTCCAGAAAAAGATACCCAAGACTGCTCACCCCTCCTCCCCCAAGTAGGGCACATCTTTAAGGAGGAGAAGGGTCCTGCAGGGAGAACAAATCAGTAATGTGAGTACAAGGGCCTGGCACACTGGGGGCCTAGAGGCAGATCATTCTGGCTGGTGCTGTTAGAGAGTCTGGGCTGGCAGGAGGCGACGCTGCGGGTGGCAGAGCCCAGATCCTGGAGGGTCGTGAAAACTGGCGGAGGATCTTGGTTTCTTCCTGGAAACACTGGGGAGGCCCGGCAAGGGTCAGCAGGAGAGAGCCAGGGTTACATCTGCATCCTGGGAAGCTCACTCAAACCTGCTTGGTGGGCAGACAATGGCTGGAGGGGGCAAGCCTGGGGTAGGCCCTGGGGAAGACGTGACTGAGAGCTCTCTGAGCCTGGGGAGGTGCTGCACGCTGGTTAGGCACACAGTGGGCCACCTACAGCTGCATGCTCTTGAGTGGATTAATCTCTTCTCTGCCCTGCCCACCCCCCCCACCGCCCACGTTCTCTCCTCTGTAAAATGAGGGCGCTACTAGTGGTCCCCAACAAAGGGCTGTGTGAGGAGATGAAATATCAGTATTGTGGCGGGGCCAGTGCCAGGGGCACACGATTACCCAACAGAATTAGCTGTTGTTACTACCCGCAATCCTGAAGGCGGTTGTTTATTTCTGTGTCTCTCCCTGGGGGTATATTTGTAGATATTCTAGGCAGCGCCCTACCCATGAGGAAACTGAGCCCTGGAATCATTAAGTGACTTGTTCAAGGGGTGGAATTCCAGCCCCTGGGGGTGAGGAGGGTGGGGACATGGATAGCTCTGGGTGGAAACTTTTTCCTGGGTCATCTGTGGTCCGAATGTGCTCTGGGCACTGCAGGGCAAGGCTTATTATTATTATTTTGTTTTCAAAGATTTATTTATTTATTTATACAAGCACTGGGTACAGTCAGAAGCGTGGGAGGGTAACAGAATTCACCAGAGCCAGAGCGGGGAACAGAACAGGCAGACTGACGAAGTACACTGCTGAGGGGAGCAGCAGGCACAACAGGAGAGGGCTGCGCGCCATGTGGGACCCTCTCCGGTGGCCGGGGATCGAACCGGCGTTGCAGAGGCTGCGGGCAGCTTCATAGCCCAGCGCTCAACCGCTGCGCCACTGGGGGAGGCCCATTATTTTTTTTTTTTTTGAACAGGACAGATTGTATTTATTTATCTTAGCTTTTCTTTTTTCTCTCAAAATTTGTTGATTTGCCAACACCTTCACCCCTCCACATGTACACAGCTTCACTCTCTCTCCACCTGTGCTCCCAAGCCAAGACCCTCTCACCTTCTCTCCCCTAATCCTCACCCCCCAACCCCTCTAGTAACCAGTATATTTTTCAGAGTCTAAAAATCATTTCTGTTGTGTTTTGCCAGTTTGTTTTCTTTCGTTATTTATATTCTGCAAATGAGTGAAACCATGTGGCAACTGTCTTTCACTTTCTTATTTATTTCACTTAGCATCATCACCTCAAGATCTAGGACTGAACTTAACAAAGGGAATGGAGGACCTATACAATGAACATTTTAAGATGCTGCCAGAGGAAATAAGACACGAAGAAATGGAAAGATATTCCATGTTCACAGATTGAAAGGATAAACATTGTTAAAATATGGTCATATCACCTAAAACAATTTACAGAGTCAATAAAAATCCCATTGACATTTTCCAAGGAAATAGAAGAAATAATTATAAAATTTGAATGGAACCACAAAAGACCCCAAATAGCCAAAATGATTCTGAGACAAAAAAAAGAAAAATGGAGATGTTGTACTCTCTGGTGTCAAACTATACTACACAGTGATAGTAATCAAAACAGTATGGTATTGGAACAAAAAAACAGAAACCAGGGTAACTGGAATAGAATAGAGAGCCCAGAAATAAACCCACACAAAGATGGACCATTCCTCTCTGACTGCAGGGCAGTTCTCCAGTGCCTGCATGGGCTGACTCAGGCTGGGGTCTTGCAGGTTCCATAGACTGTTGCTACGACATCCAGTCAGCCTTCTCTTCGAGACTTGTGGGCACTCTTCCCAGTTTGACTGGATGCCTAGGCACCCCTCCCACTCCCCTGGGTAGGGCTGAGAGCTCAGTGGGTGGATGTAGGAGTGTTCTGTGTGGCCACCCCTCTCAGCAGCAGCCTCCACATCACACTGCAACATTCCTTTCCTCCTCAGATGAGGTGCTACATCCTGATGGGTGTCCAAGGGCTGATGCTGGCCAGGAGCTAGAAGAGGCCCTGGCTCCTAGCCCCAGCTGCCAGGAGCCCCCTTGGGAGCCCTACCTCCTGTGGTTACTCCTCCTAGGGGCTAGACTGGAGGCAATCCCATGGTGGGGTGCCAGGCGCAGGCTCAAATCCCAGCTCCCACATCGCCTACCTCCTGGCATGGCCTCAAACCCTCTGAGCCTCAGCTCTCCTCTGTAATATGGGTAGGATAACCTTCCTTTCCTCATTAGCTTGTCCTGAGGCTGAAAGGAATCCACACATGCAGCGCCTGGCACAGGGTGACTACCAAGCGCTACCTGCTATTAAAATCACTGCCAGTAACATCCTCTCACATTCGCACATTATTTTCAGTCTCTCTACGCTCACAACACAACCCCTTTTTAGAGAGGAGAGAGTTGAGCATCAGAGAAGGCTAGGGGCTTGCCCAAGGTCACACAGCAGTCTGACTCAAAACTTGGTTTACATGGTGTTCTTCCCATGGCCACCCAGAGTCACCAGACCAGGGTTTTTCTACCAGCAAATGAACCTCATTGGGTCATGGAGGTGAGGGGGTTGCCTAGAACTGGGGGTCCCACTGGGCCTGGCCTACCCTGATCTTGGCTTGAGCACTGGAGATGCTGCCAAGTAGGAAAGTCCCTGCCTCAGCCCCCCGATCTGTCCCTGCAGCCTTCTTGGCACTCACAGCTGCCAAAGACCCCCAAAGTGTGGGTGGTTTGTGCTAAGGTCCCTAGATATTTTCAAAGAAATCCCACAAGGAGATGGTGAGAGGGTATACTGGAGATTTTTCTCAACAGATGGATAAATCTGGTGAGGATGGGGGAAGAAAGCAGGTGGCTGCAAGCAGTGAAATGCAGAAACTGGACAGATTTATTGTGTCACCTTGAGGTCTGGTCTTCCCCCCTTCGTGGCTAGCCCAGACTTAGGGTGGCAGGACATTTCCTCCTGCAGGTAGAGACCTCTCCTATAGCCCACTGCCAGCCAGACACCTCCTCCAGGAGGCCCGCAGGCACCCAGATTTAATTCATCCTAAACGGGACCCGATGTCATCTAAGCCCTGTCGACCTACCTTCCTGCCCAACCCAGGCCTCCCAGCCTCCTTCTTACTTTTAACAACCTGTTCGTCGTGGTTTTCTGATTCTTCGTCCTGAAGCTTTCCCACTTCTACCCTTTGCTCTCCCCTCCGGAGCCACAGCCCGCGTTCAGGGAAACAGCGTTCACTGTTACCTGGACGACACAGCAGCCCCCTCTCTGCTGGACTGAGCTTCCCTAAACCATGCTTTGATGATGTCACTCTCTTGCTCTACAAACCTCCATGGCTCCTTATCACGCCCATGCATTCTCAGCTGGGGGATGTGCCTCGGAATTACCTGGGGTGCATCTGGAAAATGCAGTCGCCCTGGTTTTGCTCCACATCCCCTAGATTCAGGCTCTCTCAGGCTGCCCCAGACTATCGGCATGGCAGCGTTCTCCAGACTCCTCTGGCTCCTGTCGAGGATGTTTGAACACCCCCAATCTGACTCTCTTGGGCCTCCATGTTTGAGTCTGTCAAATGGGGAGGAAGGTTGTGTAAGACCCTCGCTATAAGTGCTGGGCAAGGGCTTTGGCACACAGAATGCTCCTTAGGGGTTCCTTCTGGGTGCTCCAGCCAATGGGAGTGTTGGGGCAAGACCTTCCCGGCAGAGGGACTGGCAGGGGTTCGGGGGTATCCGGCTAGGCCCCACACTCTGTGTGTGTGCAGAAGGTGGACACTTACCGGGCAACCCTTGCCTGTTCCAAGCCTCTGTCCAATTACACCCACAGGCAGAACCGCCGGAGCAGAGGCCCAGCAACACCTATGCCCCTGGGGCCGGCCTGACCCAGAACATCGGATCCAGCCCGGGACAGCGCGCCTGCTAGCTCCAGCTCCTCCTGCTCCACTGGCCCAGCTCCCCAGCCTTGGCCTTCCTTCTGTCCTCAGCCTCCTGCTCAAAAGCTGGGGCAGGCCAAAGACCCCCCCAATCCCTGAAAGCAGCCTTCTCACAGATGGGGAAACTGAGGTAGAAATGGAGACTTCTCAGCCATCTTCCAAGATCTCAGCAAAAAGCGGGGTCCTGGGCTGGTGCCAAGCCTGGGTGTCAAGTGCTTACACGTGTGTCCATCCCAGCGTCCACACTAGACACCCCTTCAGAAATGCCAGAGGAGGTGTGAACCCCCTTCTCCCACTCCCAAGCTGGACAAAGCACTTCCTCAGATGGAAACACCAAATCCTGTTTAAGGGAGACCTTGCCATGAACATGAAATTAAAACAGGCTGAGAAAAATGCTGGTGGTGATCACAGGATTCTGGGGTGAGTACTGGGGTGAGCTGCCCTGTACCCCTGAAAGTGTGAGGGGAGGAGAGGCTAGACCTCCTACTGGGGAAAGCTGCGGAGGGGCAAACTTAACCTTTTAGGGCCTAGATAAGCTTCAAGTTCCTTGTCAGCCCTCCAAAGGGCTTCTCCCCAAGCCCCGCCACCAAGAACAGACTTGGAGCGGGAGGAGGGTTGTTATGGGAAGGGAGAGGGTGATAATGAAAACAGCTCCTTCTCCGCAGAGCCAGCAGGAGTCCGGCTGTGCTGAGGAATGCGGAGTAAATTCACCCATCACTTGATTTTTATTTTTCCCAGCTGGCTGCAGCGGTGCTGGGTGGGAGGTGTCTGGGGGAGGGCTGCGTTCAGTTCCCCAGCTGCTTTATCCTCCAGATTCTAGGATGGCCTCCCCACCCCACCAGCCCCAGCTTGCCCCTGGACAGCTAAACACATACACACACACACACACACACACACACACACACCCAGCCTAGCAAGTGTTTGGCTGACTCACTAGATAAACAGCTTGTTGGGTTTTCTTTGTCTGCTTTGTTTTCAATGCAAGCCCCCCCACAAGCTCCACGGCCCTCTGCGGGCTCAGAGGATGCCAAAGACCAACTATTACTCCCAGTTAGAGATGAGAGGTGCAAAGCAATAATCAGGTTACCTGGGTTTGTGCGTGTGTATGTGTTTTCTTGCTCTCTTATTCCCTTACCTGAGTCAGGCCAGGGAATCCTAGAAGGCCACACATGGAAGGGAAGTTGGGGAAACTTTGTTTTTCAGATGAGAGAACTGAGCCCAGAGACAGGCAGTGGTTGCCTCGGGTCACACAGCTAAAGAACAGCAAGTGGGCAGGCCCTAGGTTACTGGGTTACAGGCCCTAGGGTACTGATGCTCAAGACAGCTGCCCCTGTGCCCGAGGTTCCCCAACCTTAAAATGGGAATGACACCCATTCCCTCCTTGTTCCCAGGACTAGCCCACATGTTTTCATACCCTGAGCTGAATCTTCAGCTGAGCGTCTCCCATCACTCACATACCTGCCATGCACTTAGTGGTTTCCTCTACCTGCCCGGCTGGGAAAGAGGCTGGACACGTCCAGCCAGGTCACTCCCCCGCTCTCATGCTCAAACAGGGCCTCCCTCCCTCCCTCCTGCCCTTCTCTTTCTCGGCCTCCTACTTCTCCTTAGGTCTGTTTCCAGAACCCCACAGGGGTTCCTGCTCAGACTGACCCTGTCTCTACATTTTGGATCTCACTCCCTTTTGGGGTGCCTGGGGTAAGAGTTCAGAATCACAGATAAGTTAAATCTTACTAATTTAGAGATTTTCAACCTCTGGGAATGGGAACTACTGTTCTTCTCATATCTACAGAGGCTCCAAAAGGCAAAGGCCCAAGGTCACTCAGTGAAGTGGAGGTGAGGTCTGCACCTAGACCAGAACCTAGAGATTTGAGCCAGAGCAGATCCTTTTGCCACAGCAGAGCACATCAGGTCACTTCTGGAGACCCAGCATCCTGGGAGAGTGAACACATCCATGCAGGAGCGCCGGACCAGGGCAGTCCAACCGGATTCACTGGGCACGGGCTCTGGGGCCCCAGCATAGCCTGAAAACCTTGGTCCAGAGCCCATTGCAAACCTGGGAGTCACTGGGTTGCTGTTACCCGGAGTCTGCCCCGACGTGAGTCAACTTCTCATGGAAACTTCGAGCCAGTGGTCAGGCTGCCCCTGCCCAGCGCTCCTGCCTAGCTCCTGGGAGTCCCGTCCCTAGGCTGGGAACTGAGACACCTGTCGGCGCCCCCTTAAAGTTCCCAGCGCGTCCTCTGTGCCCTCCCTTTCAGAGGGGACCTCCCGGCATCGGACTGGGTCCCAGCGCCCCCTCCTCCCCAGTCTTTGTGCCCAGCGCCGCGACCGTCTCCAGCGCACTCCCCCTGCGCGCTCCCCTCCCGGGGTCCTGGGCCCCTCGGGGCTAAGCTCCAGAGCGACTCTCCGCTCCGCGGTCCTCGTCCGCCGGGCGGGGGCACCCTCTTGGCCCGCACCCCAAGCCAGAGCGCCCCCTCGCGCCCAGCTCCCCCGAGGCGCGCGTCGGGGCGCAGCGCGTACCTTGCCGTCGGCGCGCCCCGGGCCGGCGCGCAGCAGCAGCAGCAGCAGCGACAGCAGCAGCCAGGGCAGCGGCCCGGAGGCGGGCGGGAGCGCGGCCGCAGCCATGGCCGGACGGGCACCGCGGGCGCCTCTGCGAGCTGGTCCGGCGGCCGGCTCTGCCCGCGCGGCGCGCCCCCGGCCCCCCCGCTGCGCCCCGCCGCACCCCGCCCGCGCCCTGGGGGCGGAGCCAAGGCGGAGGGGGCACCCCGCCCTGCCCCGCCGGCTCTGCGCGTCGAAGTGCGTCCCTGCAACCAGAAGGAAAAAAATGGGGGGTGTCTCGTTCAAACCCGCAGGAGCGGGGGGGACAGCGACGGAGCGGGGGCCCTTCCGAGGCAGAGGCCCTGTTCTGGGGGGCGCGGGGCCCTGCGCGGGGCTCTTCACCTCTTGGAGCCCCAGTTTCCTCGGCTGTGAATGGGGGGATAGTGCTTTCCTTTGGGAGGGGTCGTCGGGTTCGGGGGACTGATCCGGGCAGGCGCGCCTCTGCGCCTCTGCGCTCTCCCGGTGCCCGAGCCCCCCGCGCGCCCCGGTCTGCGCCCCGCCGCGATCCCTCCCAATCCCCGACTGAACTCCAGCAGCGCCGTCCGTTAAGCACCCTCGCCCCCTCCCCGCGGGAGCCTCGGGTCTCGGTTTCCCGGCAGCAGAACTTTCCAAGCGGCCCTCGGGGGCGGCCCCCTCGGGGTGCCCCGCCCAAGCGCCGCCCCGGGGCTCCCGGTCTCCTGCGCCACGGAAACGCCGCGCGGAGTCGGGGGCCTCGGCCCCTGCGCCAAGGCGGCCCCTCGCTACCTCCCCAGTCCACGGCGCCGGTCACACCCCCTCTTCCCTCTCCCGGTTTCTTCCCCAGGGCCACCCGTGACTGCCCCGGGGTCCTTCTGCCGGTCCTTTGGCGACTGCACGCCTGGGGGGGCGCGGGGGGGGGCAGACCCCCTTCCCTCCACGCTGTCTCTGTAGTGACTTCTCCCCAGGAACCCAAGACAGCTCTGCGTGTCTACTTGCCCCCCTGGGTGAACTTCCAACAGTTAAAAAGAAGTTGCCCTCAGGCCTCAAATGCTCCCCTGGCCCCTCTCCATTTTCTTCATAGACTGTCATTCTATGAAACTTTTTTTTAAAAGATTTATTTATTTATGCATACGAGAGCTGGGGCACAGGCCTGAGATGCAGGGGGAGGTGGGGGTGAGAGGATTCACCAGAGACAGAGCGGGGAACAGAACAGGCAGACTGACGAAGCACACTGCTGAGGGGAGCAGCGGGCGGCAGGAGAGGTCTGCGCTCCATGCGGGATTCTCGCGCCCTGCCGGGATCGACCCCGTGCTGCAGAGGCTGCGGACAGCTTCACAGCGCAGTGCTCAGCCACCTGCACCACCAGGGAGGCCCTGAGTATATTAAAAAAAATTTTTTGTGTGTGTAGAAGAACTGGGGTGTAGGTCAGAGGTAAGGGAAGGTGAGAAGATTCACTGAAGACAGAGTGGGGAGCAGAGCAGGTGGATCTACTGAAACACACTGTTGAGGGGAGCAGCGGGCGAGTCAGGGGAGGTCTGCCGCCCCATGTGGGTTGCTCCCGGGCCGCTGGGGCTCGAACTCTTGCTGCAGAGGCTGCGGACTGCCTTATAGAGGGGTGCTTAACCCCTTGCGCCACCAGGGAGGCCCGAAACTTTCTTGTTGGCGTGTTCCTTGTGTCCTGCGCATCTTCCCTTGTGGGGGGCATCAAGTAGACTTTGTCTCTCCCCACAAGCAGCTACTAGCTCAGGGTCCCACGGTGCTGTCTCTGTCCTGGGAGCAGCAGCTTCAGCATCACCTGGGGACTGTCTCCCCCTCCAAAGAATGCACATTCTCACAGCCCCCCACAGACCTAATGCAGCGGTAACTTTAGGGGTTAACAAGCACTCCAAGGTTTGAGAACCTCTGGATTGAGACCCCAGGACTCCAGCTGAATTAAAGGATCATGTGCAGTAGGTGTACCCTGATTAGCTTCTTTCATAACTCGGGATCCCCCGGGGGGGCGTCACAGCCAGGACTAGATTAGTGTAAGAAATAAATATGGGGTGTGTGTGTGTGTGTGTGTGTGTGTGTGTGTGTGTTCCCACGCGCGGCTCTCAGAGAGCTACGGCGGTGCTAAGGCTTACCTTTCTTTGAATACTTTTTTTGCATCCTGTGAATTTGCCAGTGTTCGGTTTATTCAAATAAAAACAGACAAAATATACTTGCAACAAACAGAGCCCGCTGGGAGTTAGTTCCTTTTCCCGGACTTTTCTCCCTGTGCTCTGTGACTCGCCTGCCTTCTCCGGGGCTGCAGGAGCCGGTCCCCCGAGCGCTGCCCTCTGCCGGCGGGCTCTCCCCGCGGCCTGCGGTCTCCCCGGGCTCCG